TGAGTTGTTCTCACTGACAAATGAATGTGTGCGAATGATTCGAGTCGAATGACGTCAAAGTCAAGTCCGGAAAATTTAAAATCGACATCGTTCGGGTATATTTTAGAATTTCTATTAAGTACACGAGGGTTAAAACAATATTTTCTTTTTTGCGGAACCATTAATATTTGTCCTTTGATACAGTCAATAATAATCGTAATTGTTTGTTCATGAAAATGATAAATCGTAGCGCATACGCACTTTATCACTCCCTTATTTGCCTTTTAACAGCAATTTGTGTTCATAGCTCGCGATTCGGAATGATTTATACACGAAAACCAAAGTCGCTGATATTTTTCATTTACACTTATTTTATTCCATTTAAGTTATACGTTCTATATTTTTCAAAACAAACAACAAACATGCATAAATACGAAAAATATACGTGATTATCGTCATTTTCCGGGTAAACTGTGTTCAGTATTTCACCGTTTTCACACAATTCTTTCTGAAGCTACCATAAAGATTTGAATAAACGATAAACTTGAAATATCGTATGTCCTTGCCGAGTCACGTCCCATCTGATACGCTTAGGCCGCATAATAAATCACATGGCGCTCTCGTCCATTTCTAGAAATGTCCAAAACGTTTAAACAAGTATTTTTGTAAATTTCTAATAGTGAATTTACATTCTTTTATATAAATTATGCACGATAACCGGAAATCCGTGACATTTAAATCAATCACGGCTAGAACAACACAACGTTCGATAACAAGGTTCTGTGTCAGCAGATAACGACGGACTTTTCTCGAACATCCCATAGATATCCCTCAAATTTCGTCGTCAAATGCCGTTCGACCCCTGTTTACGAAACATTGTATCCGTATGTTGACACACATGCGAAATGTCGTGAGTGAAATGATTACACCTCGGAATCGTAAATACACGAAACATTCCAAATCGGGTGTTCGCTTTTTCCACAGCGAAGACAATAATTGTCACAACGATTGAAAATAAACAATAGAATTGTGTATAAAACGACTCGTGGTCCTCTTGCTCATACAATCCACGTTCGAGCTCCCTCTTGTGGTTTTTCATCTCTCGGGCCTCGTGGTTTCGTGCCCGTCAATATTGACTGGACTATAAACTTTGTTGCCGTATTCGCGTAATTTATATACGCGTATAGATTGGTTATTGGTAAATAAAATGCCATAATGTTATGTCGGTTCACTCCTGTAATATATACACGCGTATGCGCCTGTTTGTGGCTGTGCGTGTGTTTTGTGAAATATGTATTTGTTTCGCTACATGGGTAGTGTTATAACTAATGGTACAAACTTGAATAGTACTCCCTGAGGCTCGGAGCCTAAGCTAATAAATGGATTGTTTTCAGAAATGTACGCCGAGAACAAACGCACACGTTACACATTTTATTAGACATAACCGATGTGTATTTATTCGGACTTACGATAGTAAATATTGCATGTTATTGCTTTGTATAACATGTGTAGCGCCGACCGACAACGCACCACTCGTTCCGTCAATTACTTTGGGACGCAAACGTTACCCGCGAGTGAGAATTTAAACAACGAACATGACGTCAGAGAGAATTTCCTTGCCATTTCGATGCGGAATTCGTTCGGACGCCGGTTGTTCGAGACGAACGATCGATCCGTCGTTAGCGAAAACCGACTTGAAAATATATTTGAACTCGCTCTTATAACAGCAAAAGTGCCTGATCATATTGACGAGTAACATGTTGTTCGATATGAAAATAAACATTTTCGGGTCCATGTGGAAATCGAATAATAACGTGCTCGCGGTAAGCTTACCCCGTCAAACAAATTAGAGTTGTTGTGATGCTCTTCGTTTAGATCGACATGTAGTAAACGCATTTCCGCGTCGCCTGCTATTAGTTTTGAATACCGTTACGAATTTATATTCACTGTTTAAGTTGATATTTCGTGGACATCTTGAATTTGTCGCGACTCGAGTGGTTTCTCATTCGTATTACCGCATGTTCATTGCAAGCACGAAACATTTAATCAGACCGTATACACTAAATGTTCCGCGCTAAAATAATCAAATGGACGAATTCAAGTCGATCCCCAGACCTGGTACCGATTGACCGGAAACGTTGCAAGGGAATAATGGCTTTTGGTGTTTTTCACAGTTGTACCGTACCTACCGGTAACAGTATTGTCCAGATGGGCCGTCTTCACGATGTCTACCGTCGTCGATCCGATACGAGTACGACGACGCACGTGCACACCCGTCTGTATTTTCGTAGCCTCGTCGTGTTTCAAACCCCTTAAAAATCGCAGACCTTCAATCACGGCGGACTTTGCTTCTCGGTACGAGTCTGTCGTGGGCCGGATTAGACATATTTATCCCACCGAGTTGTCTCTACGTTACCGGCGCACTTACAAACTGACGGCTCTTAGCTAAATTTTTTTTTTTAATCGCATTTTCAATAGGTGCACTAATCTTTTCTAATTGATGTTTAGTACAAATACAACGAAAAGCAACACGTTATATTTAATATGATATATTACATAGGTTAATAACATATTTTAAATGTTGTTAGAATTTAATGATTTCAGCCAGTTTAGGTTTATAATGTTGGTATACACGTGTGTTCGATTTCACCAAATACACTCTCGTGTTATGAGAACCTGCATAAAATAATACATCAACACATAAATACACACATAAATTATGCGACGCAGCAAAACGAATACCCAACTGTCGCGGCCCACCAAGTTTTGCTCTGTAACTCGCCGGGCCAATCCGGCCCCGGGTCCGTTGCAGTTACGATTGAACGACGAAAGGCTGTTCGAGGATTTCCACTAGAGCTCTTAATACACGTGAATTCACGGAATTCACGTGTCACGAGTCACGTGTAAAATCCAAAATAAAAACGTATATCCTTAACTTAATACTGTACTATTAATATTTTATTAAAACTTCAAGTGTATAACATAAAATTACTAATTTTACCATTGTAAAAATGGATATATATTTTGGATAAACATGTATTTCACGTGTACACGTGAATTCCGTGACACGTGTTTTAAGAGCTCTAATTTCCACCACGTCGACCACAAAGCACTTAATCGGCGGTCGAATTCGGAAAATCGTTTCGGGGAGGGCGAAAAAAACGAGTGGGCACGCTAGCGTTAACATTTGTTCGGCGAACGGTCACCGGTTTGTCGCGTGTTGTAATTTTCCAAGTAACGAATAATATCGTTACGCTCAACGATAATTCATTTTCGTGCACCCGACCACCGTTAAAAGTTCGATAAACCGTTTGCGGCGGTGTTATCGTCCTCGTTTAGGGCCGGCCCGCGGTGTTATCCGTCGCTCGGACGTCCGGTGCACGCCATCAAGTTTTATGGTCCATCGCCGCGCCCATAGTACACGTTTGGTTGTGCAGTATTTCAAGCAATAACAATAAATCCAAGTCACGAGAAGCATAGAAGCGCGTTAAAAAATAAAAAAAATGTATATTCGTGTCACAATTGGAAACGTTTTGAAGTATAAGAACACAATTGTACGATAACTATTTTACAGATACTGTGTCAATGAGCATGCGAGCAATAAATATGTTTAATTGGATTAAGCGAACTGATAAAACATATCGTGTGAGTAAATCACAAACTTCAACCTCGCGTTTATGTTAATTTGTAATTGGATTTGTTTTATGTAAGCTCTATCGAGTTTCGAATACATAAAAAAGAAAATAATGTTCATATAATGTTAAATGAAACGTGTGACATAAGAATATCGATTAACTTATATATGTATATTACATCAGTTTTGCGTTCCGATAAAATGTACGGTAAAAGCTTTGAGGAAGAATTAGTATCGATAACGTACATCGAACATATCATAATTGAGTTCGCTGCGCTCAAAGCCCGTGGAATAAAATTTTTAAAAAAATATATTCATTGTAAACTAAAATATACTTGTTTTTTTTCTCTTATTGTTTAGGTAATATAGTAATAAACAAATAAAGACATCATTAATTTTTTTTTAATTAATGGTAATTTTTTTTATTGGAAATCTTGTACAGGGCTCGGACAAACATTAAGGACCAAAAGTTGATGTGGGGGCCTTGATTATATGATACGATTTTGTTGCCAAAATCGTGAACTAGTTTCGTTGGCCGTGGAAACGATTCGACCATATCAACGCTTGAATTTGAAACGTTCTTAGGATATTTTTTTTAAATAACGAACGACTCGATCCTGTAAAACCGGCAAAGAGCATATCCCTCTATATATTCAATAGCATAATATTTCGTAAAAATAAAAGGATTCCATACAGGTCGATCATTAATAATTATCATGGACTCTTTGAGAATCATGTTTTTTGTACAGTATAAGCAAGGCCGTTCTAACCCCTCACGCTTCCGATTTATTTTTATAGCTTATAAATTAAGTGTATAAAAGTAAATTAATAACAATGATTTACCATATAGCTAATATACGAATAATACGAATTCCGTTGCCGTTTTTAATGTACAGTAATATCAACACATATGCATATACTAGCATATATATAGCACTGAGTATCATAAAAATAACGCTTTTTTCGCAGAAAATTTTATTTCCATTCGTTGTAATAAACGGTAAAATGTTTGCCAAAAAAAAAAAATTGGTTCCACAAGTGCTGATCAAATTTCTGGAAATAGGAAAATAATTTGTACCAGTATCGTTTACATGAAAAAAAAAAAACACACACACATTTTAAAATCTTAAGAGTAAAACTGAAATCTACGTAAACGATAATCGATGAATCGATAAATGCGAATAGATAATTGACGAGCGGATAGTGTCGAAGTTCCGTACGTCGAACTTCGAAGGGGAAAATATCCACATTATAAATTACTTCGTCGAAAAACGATGCAATCCGGTGGACCGATAGGGTGTCCCAGTTTCGGTTCCAACATCCCCGATACTGCCCGCCGGATTGCAACGTTATTTATCCTCATTTTTTTTTTTTTTTTGTCTTTTAGTTTCAAGCTGCTTTGCTGCAACGTTGGAATTTGCCGTCGTTCATGTGCGCCTTTTGCCCGTTCATACACGTGCTGTCCATCACCGTCAGCGTTTTCACGCTGACCGCTATTGCCGTGGACCGACGCCAAGCCATACTCAACCCGTTCGCGTGAGTAAATACGATCATGCACAGTTATATTAAACATACTCGTATATAATCAATTCGCGGGTCACTCGGATACTAACAGATCAAACACGATTCGGCCGTTCGAAGCTTGGGTGAAAAATGTACGCTATACAATAACACCGTTTTTATTCGGTTTCCGTCTGATCTGCACTCACTTCTGTCCGTAAAATAATTTTGTACCGATTAATAAATCTTAAATAAATCACATGTGGAGTTCCGGTTCCCTCGCTATTCCGACCGTGTGCAGCAAGCGAAACTCCAGGTTTACAAAATACACAGTGCTTCCATACTAGATATACTGTAGGTCAATTATCCGGATTCACCCGGGAGACATTTCACCGTTTTGGATAAGATCGTTTATTTATCCTAAATCTAAAAACTTAAGGTTGAAAAAAAACAAAACGCACACTATCGTATAACCAATACCGATATTTATTTGTATTTATTCATATTATATTTATTTAATTTACATATGGCTTAATCGGTGAACATTAAAACCACCAATACATTGAACAAAACAAAAAAAATAAACATTTTCTAAGCAACCAACAAACGAAAACATATATACATCCAGTTCGAAACCGTTCCGATCTTTGCTTATTGCACATTATTGCTGTATAATAATCCACCATATGACGTTCATACGTCGCGTTTGATGTAATAGCGATCAGTGAGTGAGATTTTACGTGTACACGTGTGTATATTAAATATGCTTTTTTTTCTCATCCGGTATAATTGTCTAACACATAACATACACGCAAGTATTAATTAATCATATAATTGCCTTAGGTTAACCTCCATTAACAAAGAGATTATAAAAAACAAAAACAAAAAGTTATTAATTAATCCAATGAAATATCTTGTGGGCATAGATTCCTTCGTATTCCCACCAGACATAAACATCTCGATCGGCCGAACGCATCAATTTTAGTTCTTACATTATATAAATGTATATGGTATATTATCTTATATGGGATTCAAATCTAACGTACACGATGAGAACCATTACGTACGCACTTGAACAATAACAAATGACAATGATATTAAATTCCGGACGATAGAGAATACGTTGTACAGAACATCAGTTGCGCCTTGTCGGATAAAACCGATTTTCCGCAGCATTAATTAATCGTGTTGATTAAACGCAAAAATATCATGTTTTATCGAACGAATCATAATCGCGCAGATCGCATGGTGCAAGAAACACTAATCCAATATCGGATCCCACGTTGCCGTTTATTTATTCAAGAATTATTCGAACGATACAGACACTTGATCCGTGATAAATTATTGCACATCAATCCACCTACTAACCATTTATCATACCTCCTTCTTACCGGTCGTATTTTATTTTAATGTTGATTCGTTTTGCACAACTTTAGAACATAAACAATAAACGAATTATTTTGTTATTTATTTCGGTGCAAAAATACTGCGTGATTTGCGATTTCCGTGACATCGATGATATCAATCGGTAATTTTTCGTTCTCCGCTACCACATGGTTTAGATTAAGACGATTTTTCTATCGAATTTATGCAATGATATTATAAGGCTTACAGTACAAGTAAAGTACACACGCGACAACTTTTGAACTCGAGCACACGGCGTTCGAGTGGTGATCGAACAACTCAGATATTGAAAACTGAAGAGGCACGCGTGCTGACGATAACAGTTATTAATCCCGCAATCGGCTAGGTGTATTCTATATAAATATTAAATTATCAATAACACTTATTGGATTACAGTTTATTAAAATATTTGTTAGAAAACTATACAATGTATGCCATGGTACGAAATAAAAATTGCATAGTTTTTCAATATTTATTTTTATTTATTTTATAACTAATTGTCCATTAATATTGGTAGCCATGGGTTGTAAAAAAAATGAACCACGTGTTTGACGTACGTGTTTATATCGAAACGATAGTAACACGCGTCGAAGAAAGAGACATAAATGATCGCCCAAAAATGGTTTTCTTAAACCGTTCTAGAAACAGTTAGTGATGCATATCGACATCGTATTTTATTTCGATATCGATATCAAAAATCGATATAAAGTCGTTATAATTTCTATTTTCTATAATTTGAAAACTTCGTTTTTAATGTAACAATTCCATAAAAAAATCCGTCGATAAATATTATATTTAGTATTGTATTTTTTTCCGTATTATAAATTATACCCAGAAGTGGATTTAACTTTTATACAGCAAAATGCACTAATAAGTTACCGCTCCAATTATTAAATACAACAGTACTTTAATCCAATGCATTTTTAGACAGTATTTTTCATTTTTAATTATTTAGCTTATTTTGGAAAAAGTTCAATGGATGTCCATAAAATACCAATTTTTATTGATTGATCACGTACAATGATAACTTTTACGAACCACCATTATTAAAACCATTTTTTGAACAGTTAAGTAAACATTACATCATTTTTTGTAAATATAAAGTAAGAAATTTTCTTTTTCTTTTTATTTTTTATATGAATAAAGTATAAAGTATTACAATATTTGGCATTCCCAACTGCCTACTATTGCTATTTATAAATCTACCTCTGATTATATCGATATACCGTTTTTCAATATCGATATAAATGAACTGATATCAACAGTTAAAAATATATCGTTGTCCAACATTACAAATAATGAGATCAACGTCCACTCTATCGTTACTGGAAAACTTTGATTCTGAATCATATAGCGAGTCATACATTTTTTAAACTCAGCTATAACTAACCATTTGCAACCCAATCTCCACTCGAATTCGATTGACTTCACAGTTATCATTTAAAACTGCTCCTTCAAACCATTATCCAATATGGTCTATCAATCCATCACGTTTTAACTGATGAAATATCTAAGTACTACAATCGACTTTACACAGATAAATCTTGGTTCACAACCAATCTGACCATCTGCAACTTAACAACTAGCATCATCATCGAAGAAACATGTGAACAATAAGTAATCAAGACCAAGGACTCCATCCAGAACTCGCGTTACCTTCAACATCAAAACACATCCTTCATATCCAAGCTATAAGCACTTGAATATCGAATTAATTACCGGACCAATACGCTTCTAAAACGAGATAAATATCTATAGTTCAATAAACGATTCAATCCAGCAAAAGACCCTAAAATAAATCAAAGACTCCTGAATAATATCAACTTCTCTGTGATAAATACCAGCTCAAAACTGAGAACACCGACACGGAGTGCAACATCGCACTTGTTGCGACTAAAAAATTCAAAGCGCATATGTTCATTATTTACAAAAAAAATATAATAACAGTACGTAACACACATAAATAACAGCATTTTGTGGTTGTATAATAATAAATAACGTACTATATTCCGGACCGATTTGATTAGAAGGGTTGAATTTCTTTAAATTGAATCGAGTTTGTGCGGCGGTGAAGTACCCGTTGGTTATATCATATTGTATAAATGAACCTAGGTTTAATATATATTATTATATCTTATCGATTACATTATAATAATGAAGTCGTATTTCGATCTGCGTAATACCAAGATGACCACATATTGAACCACAAGAATGTTTGAACGCGAAAACTACGTGTTATTGGTTTCATACTAGCAGGAATGTCACTAAAACGTACACAACACAGTGTAACATGTTAATACGTGTAGCCCATCGATCCGTTACTAACGACTTGACTGCGTGAATAACAAATTTGTTCGGTAAAGATGTTGTGCAATAGCGTACTCGGTTAATAAACAGTGTTAAGACTGCTTGGGCTTTAAACGGTATCAATTTTCTCATCGGTATGACGGTATTGGACGGTATACGAGTACTTTTGGTATTCTGATAACAGTTTCATTGTAAATGTGTTATTTTTAACTAAGGCGTTGATAAACAGGTAAAATATGTTTTTTAGTAAATAATCTAGTGCAAGCTTTCCAATTTCAAAATTCAACTCGTCATCATAAAATCAAAAATTGAAACTCTTATTATGCAAACATTTTGTATTTCTTTTATACGTTAGTTTTTATATTTTATGATTGGATATTATTAGGTGCATGCGATGAGATGTGTATAAAAAAATATGCTTCTTAAGAAAATTTAGTTTTATGTCTGCTATAAACATTGTTTTACGAACTATTCATTCTGAAATAATTCAAAAAAAATGTATGGTGGTACTCTACGTTTATCATAAAACATACTAATTAATATTAAATACAGTCAATTATTACTAAATTATAACATCCACAGATTTTAACTTATAGTTAATTAATTAATTTAACTCAGGTGTTGACTGTTTTTTTATTTTTTTTTTTTTTTTGTACTCGACCGTGACACAACTAATTCATAATTACTTTATCATAATTTGTCCGTCATATTTTTCATCCTACCATAATAGGTTTGTCATGAATCACCATCGTATCTTGACGTTTATATGCGTGAAAAAAATTGAAAAATCATAAAAATAACTTACTGCATCAGACTTTAAAGAACTTTAAAAACATAGTTCGAATATCTTGGAACTTAAGCAACAAATTTTTCGTGTCCTCAACGAACTTTATATCCAGTGATGGTAAATTTTATGGAAAAAATAATCGCCTGTAGGGCTAGTTGGGAGAGTCATATGGACCACGCCCTCTCGCCTGGGCCTTCTTACGGCCCTGATTTGATTGTTACATTCCTACATCTTCCCAAAGTTCAGAGTTCAGATTCTAACGCGGCTGTTGCGTATCTATTGAAATTAGTTTTAATACTTGCCGTACGTTTTCAATAATATTGAATACAAAGGGGTTTTGCAAACATTCAAAAATCACGGTTAGGTAATTTTTACTCAGCTTTAAAAATCAGCTGACAAACATTTAACAATCTCATTATTTTGTACACCACTGACGCACAGTGGTTCAAAAATAAAAATAGCTAGCCAACATTTTAAATTTTTTCAGAATTCTTATACAATTATTTATTATTTATACTAAAATTATTAAAATAATAATTCGAATTTATGTACTGACTTAATGGATCAGCATGTTTCCTGGTTTTTTACTCAACAACATGCCTTCCATAAAAAAAACTCACAGGTCTCGTAAAAACATCCAATTTAGATATATTTTTTTTAATTTTTTTTGGAAAGAGAAATATTTATAAATAAGTCAATGTAAAACAATTTATATTTAACTATTAATAATTTATTTTTGATTTTCAAATACTCAAATATATGCACAAATTAATCTTCGCCTCTGCTCTCACTGCTCACAACTGTTACTATCAAGAGCGCATTCAATTTCAACTACAAGTAACAATGTCTTGACAAATGGATATTAAGGTTTTTTTTATTATTATTACTATAATTTACGATAATTTTTATTGGATCTGATGATAGCAATAGTCTTTGAACAATATTTGTATTAATATTTATCCTTGACGATTTTTTACTACGATATTCTTTGTACTAATATAAAAATATATTCGTGGATTTCTTTATGTATAATTTTTGAAAATAAAGCCATTATATAAAAAATTGAATAATTGTAATTCAATAAAATATTACTTATAAATAAAAGCTTTCAAACTTCGAATACTCACTATGAAAAAGAAAAAGAAAAAAACAAGCCAATATGATCAACTAATGATGACATTTTTATACATCATCGTGTGACTCGTTGTTTAAATTAATTAAACTTGTTTGTTCATAAAAGAATGCAGAAGTTTTTCATCGTAATATTTGTAACATCGTACCTTTCAATTACCACGTACGGCGTTAATATCAGTCGTAACTCCATAACCGGGTCATAATGTATCATTTTTGTAACTTACTAAACATAAATAAATAGATAAACACTTCGGTTTAACTTGTTGCCGGAAACCAAAACCGTACAACAATCGTTAACATATTATAGTTTTTACGAATAAAACCGTATTTCGTTGACTTTTGACTTTTGCTCTACGGGTAATAACAGGTTTCGCAGTAAGTCGTAACGTGCACACGCCTCAGGAGTTCTACGAAACACTTTTTCGATATTCTTTTAATATATTCCATTTGTGAAAACATTCGGCCGACCGTTTTCGTTATCGAACCGCTGCCGCATCGTAACAACCGTCGATGTGTGTCAATCCTACCACCGACCGACCCTCATCAACCTCTCCCCCTGGTCACACCCTGTAATGTTGCAACGATGTTCACAGGGCTCGCACGTCCAAGACCCAATGCATGTGCGTGATCACGTTGATCTGGATCGCCGGGCTGGCGCTGAGCTCGCCGATGGCGTACGCCCAGCGGATGGTGTTCCTGTCGTCCGACTGGCCATTCTGCCAGAACGTCAACCTGTCGCAGAACGAGATGCTCTTCTACAGGGCGCTGCTGGTGATCGTTCAGTACGTCATACCGCTGTCGATCATGACGTGGGCCTACTCCGGCATCGGGTTCGCTCTGTGGGGCTCGTCGGCTCCCGGCAACGCGCAGTCGCAGAGAGACCTGAACCTGATGCGAAACAAGAAGCGGGTAAGTGACCGCGCGACCCGTGCACGACGACAACGTTCTCGCGTCACGAGGTCACCGATCGTGTCGATAATATTGTTATCGTTGCTCGGAAACGGATTTGATTGCAACATGAAATTAACATTAAAAAAAAAAAAAAAATACAATTCAATGCGTTAAAAAAAATGTAATTTTATTAATTTTAACTATAACGCACTAAAAAAAGGGCTCTTAAAATTATTATTAACGTCAAACAAAACAATTTTGTTTTATTATTGTATATAGCCTTTTTCTTAAAGATTTAAAAAATAAATTAAAAATAATTAAAGTAAAGATTTTCAAAAACGATCCATAACATTTTCATCTATGTATTCAACATGTATATTGTGTTGGTTTCATTCCAATGCTCTTACTAAATATCACGATTGTATTAAAATTTTCTACTTTTTCCATACACAGGCATAGTATACACCTAGATTTAAAATTATTGACTATGTGATGTTAATTAATTTTGTATTATATTCTTAACGGAAATAGTCCGTATCTTCCAATCTAAAAGTAATGCTGCATGCAATTTTTAATATTTGCATATGTATTTTAACGACCTGGGTAATAAACAACTATTTGAAAAAAAAAATTTGAGTAAATGGACTTCTGTACTTCTCCTTCCCGATGTTAGGTGAATTGCGTCCCAGTTGTGATTTCATTATATATATATATATATATTATAATTATTTAATTATTCGTCAATAATTTGTGTAAAAAAAATTAAAGTTATAAATGTATATTATATATTTTAAACAGGTAAACATTTAAACGAAGCGGCTTTGACGTATTCGGAATCTGGTCAATAATTTATCACAATATTTAATCATTTTTTCTCGAATACAATTTTCTTTTTCGATAATTTGACGGGATTTTCTTAATCCATTACTTCGTATTTTTCGTATGTTTCGGACGGATTTAGAACATCAATAAAATTGTAAATATTTGGTTAATATTTATGCCTCACAATTTTTGTCGTCCGATTTGCCGTTGGTGCGAATTCATTCCAGAGATTTGGAGTGGAATCGCTCAGAACAATTAGAGTGTACAGAATTCATTTACTTGAAAAAATTATAGGGGAAAAATAGCCGAATGCGTTTGTTTTTATTTTTTTTATTTCGCAATTCACCGAACCCGTTCTTTCCGTGTACCCGTCATATATGTAGTTAAAAATATTTAATGGATATAAATGCCATATTTTTACTGAAAAACGTTCGATACCAAATTAATGCCAATCAAGAAGACGTAAATATTTAAATAAATTATTTTTAAAAGACAAGACAGAGTAATTCTGACTTGATGTTAAGACTTACTATCATATTTTTTACGCGTAAAATAATTAAATTAACATTCCTATGTAAATAATTACTTGTCGTAGTGTATTAAAACTGTTTTTTTAGTGAAGAATTAATTACTTATAATGGATAGTATTTCCATAAACAATTATATATATTTGTCATCTCTCTCTCTCTCTCTCTCTCTCTCACCCTCCAACAGTGGCGCAACACTTCGTACTTCGAGTAACGCAACTGTATATTACTTCAAACGTATTGATAGGTGATATATTAACACGACTGTCTGCTAAGTATACTTTGTGTTTGTAAATAATGATGACATTACCGAGGATGTAATTTATGAAAATTGAGTAACCAAATATGGTTATACATTGTATATAATATCGTGTATAACTTATCGATTCGAATTACATGCAACGAGTGTAATGGTTGGTATCAAGAAGATGTGTATACATTTTTCATCATCGCATTCTTAAAAACTATTGATAGAGTACACCGCCATTGATCCTTAATCGCTTACGCACGCCACGGCATTTAATTATTCTGTCAATAAATTATAAACTGTTTTTCACGAACATTGATGGGTAATTTACAAGTCAGTCCACAGATTGATTTATCGGAATAAAACATCTGTAATACATAGTGGTTCGAACCATTGTTCTCCTATGTTTTTCGTAGCACCGGATGCTTAGACACGTATGACTGTAAAATAGAAACGTCTAACGTTGCTCAGTTCGTTTACAATTGAAATGTATAACTTATAGGTAGATATATTGTTAACGTTAATGATCAATAAAAACTACAATGCATTTAAATATTATCATTTGGGATTGTATTTAAGCATATATACATATTTCTTTACACCAATTGCGACAACGATACACGCCATCTATTCTTTGTATAACCAAAACTACCGACTCCATAGCATTTAACTGCACTGATACTCAAGTACGTAAGCGTGCGCAGAGAATACTGGCAGGGTAGTCATACATAACACATTAACATTTAATATTAATAACAAATTTGTATGGGATAACTTCATTTAACTCAATAGTTTTGTTTTTCCAATATTCTTATGCGTATATTTACCGTTTACAGACGTTTTGAGGTGGTTGAACATAATACGGTTACTTATTATTGTGATAATATTGAATATTTTGGTGAGGGAGGGAAGGTTCACAGAGTAGTCAAGTGCCTACCCTGACTACCGTGCGCGCACGTTTATGCTCGAATACACATCTATGTAGTAAAGACACGAAGAAAAAGAAAAAGAAATGTTTGAAATTCGTATTCGTAAACGTAACTAACATCTTCGCTCCAATTCGGACATGTTTCATACATTTTTTTAGAGCTATAATAAATGTGATTATTATTCGGTATCTATTGCGTTGAAATTCACCTCGGTTATTTTTAAGGTAATCAAAATGCTCATCATCGTGGTCGCGCTGTTCACGTTGTGCTGGTTGCCGTTGCAAACATATAATCTGTTGCAGCACATATTTCCGCAAATTAACGAGTAAGTGTTTTGCCGCGGTTGACGACCTAGCTACGTATGCCGTTACCGTTCGACGAGTGACGTATTTTTTTTTTTTTTGATAAATCGATTTATTTCATCTTTTCTGTTTGATTTCAGGTATCCTTATATCAATATCATATGGTTCTGTTTCGACTGGTTCGCTATGAGCAACAGCTGCTACAACCCATTTATTTATTCCATTTACAATGTGAGTATTGAATCTTTTATACTGATTTTATACGCATTTGGTCCCATAAATCGGAGGACGATGCGCGACAAAGGTTCAAAAACCTAACCAAATGACGCTGTCGTTATGAAAATATTTGAGTGCGTTACAACTCCCAGCGTAATATGGTTACGAAATTTCTCTGCAAAATATTTTTTACTTGTCAAACAGTGTTCCCGAGTTTACTGTCAACGTTTAGAAAACGTATGGTTGTTTCACTCTCGTCCAATGGTCTGAGTTGTCACGAATCGATAAAATAAATAAAAGAAAGAAAAGAAAGGAAAGTTATTTTCTCGATTTTCATATTTGGTTTTGTTTTTTTAATGTTTGACTTATCAAAAGTGTATCGTTTTGAATCGGTTTGACAATTCTATTATGCATTCATGTGCATTAACCGATAAGCGTACAAAAGTTTTCTTTTTCATAGAACGTCGATGAACATATTAAAACGCTTATTTTACTCGAGAACTTCAACGCGATTCGCTTTTTTATTTATTTTTTAACATTAGTGGTTTTTAAGAATTATTCAAATTATTTCAATCTCGACGGAACGTTTCAATAACACTGGACGTACACATGCGTAGCATAATACGGGGTAGTGCGTAACAATGGACCGCCGGAGGATATGGCGAACAGACCATTTTTTTTTCTTCCCGACTTTATCCGTTTCCGTCCCGGAAAACTGATTTCTTTAACAATATAGTGTACGAGGGTTCCGTAAACTGATCCAAATCCCTCGTTAGTGATTTTTATGAACGACACCCTTGGACTTCACGGATTTACACTCAACCATTTACGTATTAATGGCATAATTTACGAACATAGTCGTGCAGAATTATTTTAACGGCTTGGAAACTATCTACACTGCGGCATGTATAGAGGGCACTTGTCAAGATGTCATCCGTTAAGCATTCTATTGTTATTGTTTGTAACATTTTTTTCCCAAGTAACATTGATGTAATATCAAAATCTAGCCCCGTAGAGGGTGATTGAAATATATTCGAAGCAACCGAACGCGTAAAAGGTCTTACGTGTTCTTGGACTGAAAATAGTATTACATGATTTTTCCATACCTATACATAAATGTAAGAATGTCTATTTATGATTGATTTTAAATGAATTACAGTTTAAAACTTTATGAATGATCGATTCAGCATAAAATATATTAATCATTATTACCGAAGAACTATGTATTTGTTAGGTTTCTTTGTGAAAACATTAATATCAATAAAAACTACAAAACAAAACGATTTTAATAATATATAACTGAACAATTTTTGCTTTGTCTTAAAATAAAATAATCGGCAGTAAAAAAATTTAACATTTTCTTCAATCGTTTTTTTTTTTTACAAATAAAAAATTATTGTAAAATAAAGCGATCGATATAATATAATATAATACATCTAAGTAAAATTATATAAGGATTGTATAATAACTGTGTATTTCATTGAATAGTTTAATAAAACGAACATAATACTAAACAACATTTAAAACAACTTTTCGAGAAAGTATCAAATTAATCAATATGTTAGCACACAAACCACTTTTAATAAAGGTTATCAACACGGTTGTAAGTAGACGATATTATGAATTTTTCGGTACAATAAGTTCCCGTGATGAAATCCTATCGATATTGTTAAACACGATAGGAAAAAAAAACTGTATTTTATCTCTGTCTATAGCGATAAATAAATGATTGCCATACATGCCACAGTTAAGTCCAATTTGAATTTTCAAAATAAATTGTTCGTACGCGAGTCCATTCGGTACTGCGGTTGTCTTATTTGTTGAATTTTAATTTTAGATTCGCATATTGAAGGGTTAAAATGAATCTGCGCATAAATTACACGTTTTATTGTTCGACAGAAAACTTATTTATCACCAGTATTGCAATAGTAAACAAATTCAACTTTTCACGGCTCGCCCACTAGGAATCTTCTATTTATCTATTCATCTTATTGATATTATTTATCTTAACGTTAAGCCACCGACTAGTTTCGATTCCCATCCCACGCCATCGCGATATGGATACAGAAACCGGTGTATTCAGTAGTTGGTGCCTATTTAACAGCTGACCGCAAGTGTTCCCGACCCTTTGAAGTAGTGGTTCCCAATAGTCTTGGCCGACGTCACGTGGTCCGCAATTACGTACAAGAAATAAGGGTTTTGCTCGCATGCCCAAAGAGTTCGAATGTCAATGTGATAAACTATTTAAGCAACATGTGAATCAATTGAGATGCGCAGTTGCGATTATGTTATTCACGAAAAATAGACGTTTAAAGAATTCAACAATTCTATTCGAATTGTGTTTTCGAAAAAATATGCGCTCATAGAATTATGTCGAAAAATTGCGCACGATGTGAAATAGAATTTTTTTTCTCACCGCAAGCTCACAGAAAAATGTGAGTGCCCGCTCCAATTTAGGTTTTGGGCAAGGACCCGTGGCCATATGCTAATGATTGGGAACCACTCCTTTGACGAGTCCTAGGGAAGGGGTTCGTAAAACGTACGAAAAATACCCCAAAATATGTGGTCTATGTGAATTCGCAGGAAAAGTTCAAACAAGAGTTCAAAATGCGTTTGGACTTCATGGCAGGCAAACGGCGGTTGACCAGAGATCTGAGCGCGTTCTCCAGCGGCCGGTTCGAGTGGCGCACGAATCATGTGAACACGCACGAGCGGAACCTGAAACACGGTTCGATTGTCACCAACGACACGCCACTGATTCTCACACCGGAAGCATGAACGACCCCTGCCCCTATTCGCAACGATCACATACACTCAAATACGCGTACAAACACACACCCCTGTGTCTAACTTTGTTGGGTTCGCTGCAACTTCAGTTCAAAAGTAAAAACCCACTTCTTGTAAGATATATTATTTAACTGTAGACAATATGTTATTACGAATATACTACACCGAACCATAATAAATTATGTAAATATAAATCGTTGTGGTAATCAGTTTATTATACTATTGTTAACATTTCGACGCCGAGTCACCGCTGTAGTTGGCCGGACGTTTTCCATCCCGAAAAAACGATTCCAAGTGATATCCAACCATTTCTTTTGTCTATTTCATTGAGTGTTCTTTTCGTACTCCTCTATTTTTTTTCATGGTAAATGTTTTTGTATGTAAACACTGTAAATGTTTTTTGTATATAAACACTTTGAACGTTGCATGTAACTATAAACTATGTATAATGTAATTAATTATATAAAAGTAATACAAACACGAAAACATAAATGACGTGATTATATTTTGTATTTATGCCGTGAGCGCGTACGAAAACGGTTCTGACGGTCGTTATCAAACGCTTTGAGTCCAAATTAATAATTGTCACCCGTATTGATTCCACGGATTGTGTGATTGCATCTCCCTGTCAGTCTGGTGACGACTTTGCCACAATTATGATGATAACAATAGTCCAATACCTATACCTAAATATTGCTCATTTTGAGGCCCGGACGCAATCGATAACCCGTATTACAAACTAGCGATGCGAAAAATCCGGATACATCGAAGTTCGATCATCCGGATTGTTGAAATTCAAAATCCGAAATTACTGTGAAATCGAATTTCAAATTTTGAAATCCGTATTTTATTCTGAATGCGGATTTTAAAAAATTTGATTAATTATCTCTTTTATGTATGATTTATAATAAATTTTTGATAGTTAAACATATTTTCTAATAAATTGATTTTTTTTAATTACAATACAGAATTCTGCAATGTCAAAACCCAAAATCCGAATAACCGGATCTTTCAGTCTGAGATCCGAAATCCGGATCTGTCGGATTTTCGAAGAGTTTGGATTTAATTCCCCTCACCAGTGCAAACACGGAACGATTTACGCGTCCCGTTGAATATGCTCCAGGATAATATATCGTCGAACAAGATCACCACATTTTTGGGTTTATACAATACTCGCGACTGATTGAAATTGAACCTTTTACAATTTTCAGCGTCAATTCTGTTCCGTAATCGTATTATGTTTGGTTGAGTGAGCTAAGTCGGCAACGGAAACGTACTCATTTGAAATTAACAAAGAAAAAAAAAATTGTTTCCGCGCACTTATTGGTTGGGTGTCGTTTTAGCGAAAACAATACAGGGTATCATTGTATATATTCGTTCAAATGCAAAAATAAAAAACAGGAAGATTCCATCCGAACAGACACAAAACAATATTGAGTTACTAAATTACGGGCACCTCAATTCAAACGCAGTGTACTCATCCCATTACTCGAAATTACCAGACGATAACACCACGAATAATGTATTTTTTTGAGGAAATTCGTTATACTTGTAGTATCGGTATCGGATTTACAACTGTACGATAACACTTTCTTTTGTATTAGTAATCTTTTGTACAAATCGTATACAATTTGTGTGCTACCGTTGATTTGACAATAGCAGGGGCGCAATTTCAATGAAAAAACTGGGGGTGCAAAAGCCCTTCTATCTTTTTCATGTTCCTTAATGTTTATAGAAACCCGCAAACCGTACAATTCAACAGTTACTAAAATATTTGGTAAATATATGAATATTTCTAAATTTAAATTGTTCACTTTGATTTTATATTTTTAATGTGCGTATAACGAATTACCTGTCTGTAAATACATATGTTTTATCACATGATCACTTTTAGATTCTGACTGAAGCGAAGGATATTATGGTTTTATAATGATGTTTGTATTTTATTTGTTAAACGCTTTTTCGAATAGAAATACTGGTTCGAAAGTTTTTATGACCTTTTTTAGATTTTAAATTGGCATGCGGTGTTACTTTAGATAGGTCATTTTTTTAAATCTTAATAGTTTTTCTAGACGTGAGGAAAATGAGAGAAATGGTAAAAATACGTTGTAAATAAGACTTTCACATTTCAAATTTTAGTTATTTAGTCGTAATTCCAAAAGTAATGTGGCTAGAAACTTGAAAATTTTACCCTATAGCAATGATATTTTTTTTTCGTATTTAAAAATATTTTCGTATTGTATAAAAATGTATATATTTATATAAAAAAATTTAAAAACTATTATGTTTTTCTGTACATAATAAGTAATGAGTATTTAAATGTAAACTAACATAAACATATTTGGGGGTGCTAAGTACACCAAAACCCCCCCAAATTGCACCTATAGACAATAGACTATTATAAAATCAATGTTGCTTTAGTACCGCGGACCGGTCATCACTATGAAATGTATCGAATCAGTGCGTTCCATATCGTTATTTTTAAATGTAAGGAAAACTTTTTTACTATCTCTGCCATTGAGACCTTAATAATGTGATTGAAAAAATCAATAAATATTTCCAACGAAATATGATAAAAAGGTAATAAAGAAAGAAAAAAAACGAATAAAAATATCGGAAATATTGTGAACAAATAAAATACAAGTTTCGTACATTTTACTGCTCAAGTCTGAACCGAAATCAATTTTTACCAAGATAATATTAAAATATTTGAAACGTGTCATTTAGGATAACAGCACGTCGGTTGATTTCGTATTAGTCGATTTATACTTCAACTTGACAATCATAGTCATTCTATTAATCGTAAAAATGCTGATCGTTATATATATATATATATATATAAGCTAAAAAATCACTGCATTGGTAAGATAAAAATAAAACCAACTTGTAACGTTTTGCACGAACAGGATCCGTTTGTTATTCGTTTGACCGTACAAAAATGATCACGTTCATACGATGTCAGTGTAGAGAAGAATAAAAAAAAAACCAAAATAAAATAAAATAAACACTACGAATATTAGAAATCGGAAATCGTTGTCATGATGTTACGAAAAATTTAATTCGACACTATCCCTCGGTGTGTTGAATATGACACGTTAGGGTTGGTCACGCAGTGTTTTCTCGAGTACAGCAACGCGCATGCGAACGCACAAATAGACTTCACGAGAACATTTTCCGATCTCCGTTAGTTATACTAACAAGATCTCTTCGAAGTTTTTTCACATCAGCTCGGCACAGCTACCACGTGTTCCACTCCATCACTGAAAAAAACGGATTCGTAATCATCGATCGTTTGAGTAATATGGTTTTTTTTCTTTTCAACCGTAACTATATGACGATCAAATTCCTCGTGCGTACTACGTTTATTATTCAGAATGTGTGTCCGTTAAAAGCCACATAAAGTACGCGACGTAAATGTATAATTTAATATTGTTCTATTGTTGCCATAAACTTATCGTTCATAACCTTTTTGGACGATTTTCGTTTGATTCTTATTAACTCTGAACAGAATTTGTACGAGAACAAATAATATGGACACGATTTAAAATGTAATAATAATACAACTATAATATTATTGATTTTTATTATTATAATTACATTTTAGTCCTAATCGTGGGACATGCATTTTTTAAATATTTCATAAATATATAAATCCATAAAACATAATACCGTTTTTAAAATAAAATCAATATTTTATTATTTTAACACGGTTATAATTTCGAAATGTACATAAAAATCTATAATGAATTATTTTTTTTATTTTTTTTTTATGTGCATTAATAATAAAATATCTAATTTGCACGCATCAACCAGTGCCTCAATATTGATGCGTGTTATAATGTTATTTTTCTATACCTACTTCAATTTTTAAAACTCTAAAACTAATTTCCTATGAAATTGACCTTACAGAACAACAACCCGACACGAAAAACAAAGCGTAACTCTTGTCCAAGTGCCGTAAGCTTTTCTGAATAACGTCTGATTTCGACTTTAATCCTTAATGTATATACTGTACTGCATTGCCAAAGGGAAAAACTATGTTACTTGGCCGTTTTTATTTTTTTTATTTTACTACCGGATTTTTTCCGAAATCGTATTAATTGTTATGATCCTAAGTCAAGAAAAGTTTAAGGAAAAAGAGCTTGAAAATGATATTAAATAATAACCATGAGGCATTTAAGTTGTTCCTCTAATGCAGCGGTCCATCGTGTCACTTGAATTCAAGAAGCCATCTTCATAAATACCTGCAGTATCAGTGAGTTGACCGTACGCTCGGTAATATTTAATAAAACAAAACATTTGGTAGGAAAATTATATCATTTTTAAGCAATTCCCCGCGTTATATTTGTTCGTTAAAATTAGTAATGAAAGCACCGAACACATGCTCCGAGCGTAACGGACAGTATGATGTATTGTGTATGGTCTCGCCAGGCGAACTTATACGGAAACTGGGGTACCCGGATTGTTAAGCGTTGCACACAGGCGCAGATCTGAAAATGAAAATAAAAAAGGTTCGTTTATAACGTTAGTAAAGTGAGTTACTGCCATAGTTCGTTGCGCATATCGATTTGTACGAAGTCTACGAGACGTCTATTTTTTTTAAATATTTTAAGTGCCTATGTCCGATATGGTTCTACTTTATGTTTAAAGGGGGAGGATTCAGCCCCCATATCCCTCGTCTTGTATCTACGCCTGTCTGCATTGATTGCGTCTGAATTTAGGAACTCGACAATCTTTTCCGGTACTGACCTTTGATTTAACAAATTGTACACTCGTTCAGCACAATACATAACGAGTTCGTTTCGAATCGTTATTGCCCAGAAGCATTACACCCAAATCAATTGTTGATGTGGTCTAATCATTCGTTTAATATTGTAAATTTAAAAACGAAATCGTACAGGACCGTGCGTCAGAAAAATCACAAAGTTATTAAATATTCAAAAATTGAAGAACTAACTACATTCTCGTGACTATCATAGTTCTTAATGGTAATCAAGGGATTTATTACGCCACTATGGCCAATCCACACCGGTTATGTTGTATTAATGAAATTCGATACAATAGCTCGTGTATGAGAGAGTTGCAGGGAAAATAAATTGTCGGATTCCTAAGATTAAATCGAGGGAATATTATTTACGCATTTTTTGCAAACTCATTTTGAATAAAATCTAATGGCAAGGAAATCAGAAATATCAAAATTCTTGTACCAAAATATATTTTCAAATTGAAATGATTTTTTTAATTTTTTATCAAACATACATTTGAATTAAAAAAACCGTTCCAAAAGTGTTATACACTATTTCATATAATCGGAAATCAAGCGCCGGCGATCTTTATACATTTTATATTATTTATTAACATTTACTTTTATTTTTATTTATATATTATAAATGTTATTTTTTGGTAAAAAAATTTCGAAAAACTTGAATGATATTATCTTTCGTTGAGTGCATTTTTGATTAAATTGT